ATGGCTTCCAATTGGCAAGGCTGAATTTTATCACCATATCTGTATAACTTGTAGACTGAACATATAACACATAAAGCAGAATTAGATTTCCATGCATCATCCAGTACCTTGACAAGGAATCCAAGTTGCAAATCAAAAAACTGATAAGGAGTTAGTCAGGAATCAAAATGAGTTCAATTATGCAGGTCCAAATAAACTGTATTGGAGAGTATTGAAGGAACTTCCTGACATATTTGCAAAACCACTTACTGCCATTTTTGAGAAATCTCAGAGAATGGGTGAGGACTAGAGATGAGCAAATATTCTCCTTCTCTTCAAAAAAAAGGCAAAAAAGAAGATTCAGGAAACCATAGGCCAGTTAGCCTGACCTCAATACCAGGAAAAATATTAGTAATTAAGTAATTAGTAGGAACCAGCATGGGTTTGTCAAGAACAAATTCTGCTAAAGTAACCTCATATCTTTTTTTAAATCAGGTCACTAGTTTAGTAAATGGTAGGAATGCTGTGGATGTCATTTATCTGGATTTTAGCAAAGCATTTGATAAGGCTTTCCATGATATTTTGATTAGCAAATTGACTAAATATGGAATAGATGGAAACCCATTCAGAAAGATCTATAAATGGTTGAAAAATATTCAAAAACTTGTCATCAGTGGCTGTGCTTCATACTGAAAGGAGGTCTCAAGTGGAATGCCACAGCATTCTGTCCTAGGGCTGATGCTCTTCAATATTTTATTTTAACATTTATTAAGACGATGAGGTAGAGGAAATCTTTATCAAATTTTCAGATGATATCAAATGGGAGGGGGTAGCTAACACAGTGGACGATAGCAACAGAATTCAAAAAGACTTTGATAAACTAGAAAACTGGGCTGAAATTAATAAAATGAATTTTAATAGAAACAAATGCAAAATTCTACCATCTGGCCACAAAAATCAAATGGACCAGTATATGATGGGGGATAGTTTGCTCCAGTGTACTAGATTTGAAAAGAATCTTGGGATTATTGTTGAACATAAATTGAACATGAGCCATCAGGTTGATGCTGCAGCAAAGATGGCAAATGCTAAGGTCCAAAACACACTGCAGAAATAATCTAGGTGGAGACTGCTTTCAGTGCCCTGGCTCAATGCTAGAGAATTCTGGGAACTGTAGTTTTGTGAGACATTTAGCTTTCTCTGTCAGAGAGCTCTGGTGCCAGAATAAACTCCATTTCCCAGGATTCCCTAGCACTTAACCAGGCCAGTTAAAGTGGTCTCCAATGGGATTATTTGAGTGGGATTATAAGGGGTGGGAGGGTTTTGGGATTTTGGATTGTATTTTAATATTGTATGAAGTTTTAAACTGTTGTGAGCTGCCTCGATTGCTTGACAGAGGGGCAGGATATAAATAAAACATTATTATTATTATTATTATTATTATTATTATTATTATTATTATTATTATTATTATTATTATTTCTGCAGTGTGTTTTGGACCATAGCCTACATTGATAGAACCATAGTTTCCAAAGGAAGTAATAGTCCTACTATATATTCTGTGCTTTCAGGCCTTATCTGGAGTACTGTGTTCAGTTCTAGGCACCTCATTTTAAGAAGGATATAGACAAGTCAAAGTGAGTTCAGAGAAGGACAAGGAAGATGATAATAAGTATGGAAAACCAAACATATGAGGAAAAGTTAAAGGAACTGGGCATGGAGAGAAGAGTGAGTGATCGCTCTGTCCAAATAACCCAAGGGCTGCCACAAAGAGGAGGGGGCCAGGTTTGTTCTCTGCTGCCTGAATGGGTAGAACTAGGTCTAATGGTTTGAAGGGTAGATTTCAATTGAACATTAGAAGGAATGTCTTGACCAGGGGGCGGCAACCTACGGCCCG